CTTGCAGTATGAACTGGGCCTGGAGCTTCGAGATGCCAGCCGCATGCAACGTCGGCGGCTCGCCCATGATCTTTTCGTGCGCATCCATGAAGTCGTCCAGGCTCCAGCTCTTGGCAAAACGAGAGAGGGCGACAACGATCTCTGGTTCTACTTGGTGTTTGATATCTACGTCGCCTACATCCCGACTATGTCGAACGTGGTCGATGACGGCGCTGATGCGATGCTCGGCAGTTGTGGTTTCTTCGGGGCTCGGAGAACTAGCCGGCGGCGGTCTGTCGTCCCACAGACGGATCATTTCTGTCTTGGATCGCGCTGCTAGCATGCCCTGATAGAGTCGTTTCTCGTCCGCCGCGGATGGGTCATTATCGGTATCAGATAAGTAGTCCAGGCACTTGACCAAAACCTGAAGCTTATGGATGTATGCGAGCTGTTGCAAGTGGCTCAGCAGCCTGATCTGGGCAAGTGCTTGCGACCTATCTAGCAAACTATTATTGATGACATGAACAACGAACATGAAGCTGCGGGACTTTGCGCCTCGCACAGCCCAAGGCCGTAGAAGGCGACACGCTTCGTTGTGCTCATTGTATGAGTATCCAGGCGGACGAGTTACGGTGAGCGGAAAGTGCGTGGACAGGTTCTGGTCTACGTCTGTCTGTGAGCCATTGAGAGGTCTCGATGGATTACAGCCCATTGTTACGGCGAGACGAATGCGAGAGTTCGTACGTCGGTCTGATGGCAGACAGGTATTGACGCGATGTCTTTTCATACTTGTACGGCTTTGCGCAAGATCCAGAAGTGGTGACATAGGTCCGGTACATGGCTGCCCAATTCAGCTTCTTAGGCCGTTGACTTTGCTGCTCGATGTTCACGCCGTACATAGGGTCGAAAGAACACAAACCATCCCCGCGGCACAAAGAGCCACATTTTGCAGTGCTGCATTTCGCTTCGCTGAACCCGCACCAGTTACACCATGGAGGGGTCGATTTGGGCAAAGACACCCAGAACTGCCCGTGATCGCATCTGCCACGACACCATGACCTACATCCATTCCACAAGGCGTGGTATGGGCCCCATGAAGTATACTGTACAGCATACAGCCTTTTTCAAGAATCATTTAAGGTCTCCTCCCCAGACCGCCCTATCCGTAGACTTCCCGGTATGTACCAGAGACGGAGGAACAACCACGGCCCTACCGTC